GATGGGCAGTGCCAGGGTCAGCTCTTGCCCACGCTGGGTGAGTGCAGCTCCTCTGTCCTGCTGGGAAGAGCAGGGAGCCCCGGGCTGGCTGCGTGGTGTTGATGTGCTTGTGCAGTGTGGGTGACTCCAGTCTAGACAAGCCCTGATCAAAAACAACCTCCCTGTGTGGAGGGAACTCCCTTTTCCTGACGCTACTTTTCTGTTTTCCACTAGAGTTTTCTTCCCACAATCACTTCCCTGCGCCCCCAGCAGGGTCCTTCCCCCATCCCAGCCCTCCAGGCTGGTTGTTTAATATGTGTTGGTGTAAAACAAAGCTGGAGGAAGTGCCAGGGCAGGGCAGCTGTGCCGCAGGGTTTGCAAACAAAGCTGTGCAGAGGCTCGGCAGCTCCTGGAGCCGGGCAGCGAGGCACAGCCCAGGTTTGGGAGCTGCCTGCTTGACTTTCCTTTGGCTGCTGCGGTGCCCAGCAACTGCCCCAGTTCCTGGCACTGCCTCGACAGCTCCTCTGCACAGCCAGGAACGTGCCTGCTCCCTTCCCTGGAGATCTGATTGCGCCCCTTGGATGCATCTCTGGAAAAACCAGCCAGGCCACAATGCTGCAGTGTGTGGCTCCGAAGGGCAGGGCTGGCTGTGCGTGTTGGGAGCTTGGCTGCTGCATCCCCCGGCTCACAGCTGTGCCCTGCTGCGGGATGGGCTGAGACCTGACCAAGCTCGTGCCATGCCAAGCCACATGGAAGCTGCAGGAGCTCCCAAGCCATGTCCAGGCACAGCAGCCTGCTCCAGGTGTGCTCCTGGCCCGTCTCTGCAGGGACAGGGGTGCTGGCAAGGGGCTGCCTGTGCTGGCTCAGCCCTGGGGGTGCCAGCAGAGCACCTGGGGAAGGCAAAGCAGGTCCCTTGTGTGCTGTGAAGTTTGGGATCCATCCTAGAGCTGGTGGGTGCTGCTGCAGCTCCCAGCTGGACCCAGCTGCCTGGAGGGTCTGAGCCCCTGGAGAGGCTGGGCTGGGCTCCTGAGAGGCTGACACTGCTGCTGGGAGCTGAGCAGGGGGCAAGCAGGCTCCAGGGCTGGGATGAGGCCTGTGTGCCTCTTTCTTGGTTCAAGGCTTGAGCTTGCACCTTGCTGGATGGCTCAGGGCTGGTGAGAGCTCTGTCCATCCTGTTTGGCGAGTCCCAGGAAGCCCCTCTGGTGCTGAGGGTGACTCGAGGCCCCGGGCAGCGTGCTGACTCGTGACTGCAGTGTCCACCCTGCTCAGGGGTGACTCAGGAGCTGGGGATGCAGCCCTGCTGCTGCTGGGGCAGATTTTGCTGCGGGCTGAAGCCAAGCGGCGCTGGGCTGCGAGGCACGGCCGGGACCTGATGAGAGCCGTCCTGTTCCCCGGCGTCAGCAGCTCGGCGCACCGAGCACTCTGCCAGCACGCCTCCCTTCCAAAATAAGCTGCTTCTGGCAGCACACAGCCAGGATCTGGCTCGCAGCCCTGCTCTAGAGGGGGCCTGGAGCTGCCTCCCCCAACCTGTGCCTCCTGGCTGCTTCCAACCGTGCCACGCAGCATCCTCCCTCCCTTCTCCCTGGCACCTGGGACTCGTGCCGACTCCACGGGCTTGGATTGCCCCGGCCCCGTCCCCGAGCTCCTCCTCGCTCTTGGCTCCTTTCCGCGGCTGAGCGGGGCAAGGGGCGGGCGAAGGGGCCGAGCTGCTCTCTGTGCCGGCAGCAGCTTCCAGGAGCGGGCAGCGGCCCTGCCAGGAAGGATGTTACTCATCCCCCAAACATCCCCTTCCCTGGACGGCAGCCACGGGAGATGCTGCGGCCAGATGCGCCCGCGGCTCCGGGGCCTGAGGTGGCCCCGGCTCGGGGATGGGCTGGGGGACACCGATGCCATGGCACCCTCGGCTGGCAGGCTGGCAGCCCTGCCCGGGGGCAGCCCTGCCCCAGGGCCTTTCCCCTGAGCGCGGCGGGCTCAGGGAGGCGCTGGCTGCCGGACCAGGACGGGCGGAGGGGACAGCGCTGGCCCGCGGGGGCTGCGGGGGCTCTGCGAGGCGGGGACACCGGGGACGGAGACCGGGCTGGGGTCTCGGAGCGGCCCCGGGGGTCACCGGCCGGGAGCGGGCACTGTCCCGTCCCGCCGGGGCGGCAGGGGGCAGCAGGAGCCCGGCGGAGCCGCCGAGCCGAGCCCCGGTGCCCCGGGCGGAGGAGCCCCCGGTGCCCCGGGCGGAGGAGCCCCCGGTGCCCCGGGCGGAGGAGCCCCCGGTGCCCCGGGCGGAGGAGCCCCCGGTGCCCCGGGCGGAGGAGCCCCCGGTGCCCCGGGCGGAGGAGCCGCGGTAGCCCGGGCGGAGGAGCCCCCGGTAGCCCAGGCGGAGGAGCCCCGGTGCCCCGGGTGGGCCCGGTCCCGGTCCCGGTAGCGCCGCCGCCCAAGCTCCGGTGTCCCCCCGCTGCCCGGCCCGTTCCGTCCTGCCGGGACCCTGCGTGGAGGCAGATGCTCCCTCCAGCCTCTCTTCTCCTCCTCCTCCTCCTCCTCTGATCCCCCCAGCGCTGCCTCCCCCATCCCCTTAATCGGCGTTTCCGCTGAAATGTGCCTTTTCCACGGATTTCTTTGATCTCGCTAAGGGAAGAAGGGAGCTATAGAAGAAATTAAATCGGCGCAGGAGGAGGAAAGGGGAGAGGAAAGCACTCTCGGGGGAGGCTGTGAAATGTCACCTCTTTCTCACCAGAGCACCAGGCAAGCAAGAACCTGTCCTGGCCCGTGCCTGTCCCGGGTCAGCCGCGCTTGGCGCTGCCGGGGATGCCCCTGGGCAGGGCAGGGGCTGGGCTGGCACCGCTGGACAGGAGCCCCGGCCCCGCCGGAGCCGCGCTGGCATGCGGGGAGCTGGCAGGCGAGCCCGGGGAAGCAGCCAGAGGGTAGAGCAGCAGTTTTGTTTTCTGCCGCTTGCCAGGGTCCGCGCAGAGCGGCGGCGCTGCCAGGGACGCGCTCTCGGGAAGAGCCTGGCTGCCGAGCCCGGGCCCTGCGGGTGCCTGGCTCTCCCCCACCGGCCTGGCTCCTGCCCAGGGGCGGCTCTGAGGGCTCAGGGGGCTGGTCTGGGTCCTTTTCTGCCAAAGCTGAGCCTCCCCCAGCCCTGTGCCCGTGCCGGGAGGCACAGCCGTGGTGATGGATGGCCTGGTACCAGGATGGCATGCAGGGACTGCTGGTGGGGACAGCGGAGGTGGCAGTGACAGGATTTTCCTCATCAGTGCTGGAATGGCGTTTTCCCACCCCTGCCAACATCCTGCAGCCAGCGGGGACAGCCCAGCCCGTCCCTAGTCCCCAATCCTGGTCCCTAGTCCTCAATCCTGGTCCCCAGTCCCCAGCCCTCGTCCCTTGTCCCCAGTCCTGGTCCTTAGTCCCAAATCCTAGTTCTTAGTCCCCAGTCCTGGTCTCTAGTCCCTAATCCTGGTCCCTAGTCCCCAATCCTGGTCCCTTGTCCCCAATCCTGGTCTCTAGTCCCCGATCCTGGTCCCTAGTCCCAAATCCTGGTCCCTAGTCCCCAGTCCTGGTCCCTAGTCCCCAATCCTGGTCCTTTGTCCCCAATCCTGGGTCCCTGAGGCCTCCCCAGCACGGCGCAGTGTGGGGCTGCTGCAGGGGCTGTCCCTGGGGCAGATCCTGCCAGGATCCTGCCAGGGCCCTCGCTGGGGTCCCTGCTCTCTCCTTCTCCCTTGGTGACCCCACCCAGCCAGCCCCTCATGTGTCTTGGCCCCTCAGCCCCATGGTGTAACGCTGGGAAGCAGAAGGGCAGGGGGGACAGGATTCCCAGGCTGGGAGAGAGGTTTAGAGCAGAGATGGTGCCTCAGTCCAGCTCTAAACTGCTTTTTTAAATTTTTTTCTATTTTAATATTTTGCCTTAACATGACCTTGGCCAAATTATTTCCCCTCTGTTTGAGATTTATGGGCCTCTTCCAGAAATGATCTGTTCTGTCTACGAAAATAGACATGGTGCTGTTATTACATTTTAAAATATAATAAGGCTTGGGAGACTGCTCTTCTGCTGCTCTGCCCAGCAGCTCCCCTCTCTCCCCAGAGCACAAACCCCGCTGGTCGCAGGTGTGGGGCCAAGAGGGGTGCAGTGGGAACAGGAGCATCCAGAGTGGGGGAGTCGCTCCCTGGCTTTCCCCAGCAGAGCTGCAGCAATGGGAGCTCTCCCATCTGAGATCGCAACTGCTCTGGGAAAATCCCGGGGAGAAAAGCCAGGGAACAGACTGGGCAAAATGGGGCTAAAGGAGCTGGGCTGCCCCGAGGGCGGTCCTGACTCGGTGAAGGCAGCAGAACCTGGCTGGGAGCTGGAAAATCCCGCACAGCCCATCAGCCCCGGGCTGCCGGGGCACGGGTGGCCCTCGCACAGCCCTGCTCCCTCTCAGTGGGTTTGTGGAGGTTATGATTGTTATTGTTCTTCTCTTCCAGGGGCTGGAGGCAAGTTCCTGTCACTTGGGCAGGCAAAGGGGGGCTCGGCTTCCCCCAGCCCGTTCCGTGCCAGCCCTGCTGGCCGAGCCACCGCCGCCTTTGGACGGCGACAGCACCACGAGGATGGGGCTGGGGGAGAGGAAAGGGCTGCTGGATTGAGGTTAAAGAGGGGGAGAGGCTGCTCGCAGCTGCTGCTCCTCCAGTGTTTTATTTCCTGCTCGGTGTAAGCCCGGATTGACCCGCAGCAGCGGAACATGTCGAGCACCCTGGAAATGTCCTGAAAGGAGTCAAACCAGCAAAAAATCCACGAGGAAAGCCCAGTGGGCTGCGTGTGCCACGGGGAGCGCTGGGAGGAGGTGACAGCGCTGGTGGCCATGCGGGGCTGTTGTAGGGCTGCTGGGACAGTGACACTGGCATCCCCTTCCCAGTTCAGTACCTGCCCATCCCAAGGGACCTGGGGGGGTGGCAGGGACCTGGGGGCTGTCAGAGCCCTTTCCCGGGGCTGGAAAACAGGCCGGGCCCAGGAGCCTGGCCCAGGAGCTGTGCCTGGCACAGGGATGCTGCCGCTCCGCCATCACACGGCGCAGGGAATTCCCGGTGAGGCGGGACCGGGGAGGGCTGCGTGGGTGGCGTCGGGTTCGTTTGTTTCCTTAATTAAAAAAAAAAAAACAACAAAGGGAAGGGGAGGGGGGGACGGACAGGGAACGAGACACGGCGACTTCTTGTGTTTACCACCAAAAAGCTGCCCGGGACGGCGGGGACAGCGGCGCCGGTGCAACCTCCCGGCTCCGTTTTGCGGGCAAAGCCGCGGTGCCGGAGCCGGGGGTCCTCGCCGCGGGGCTGGGAGGGTGCGTGCAGTGCCCGGGCTCCCGCGAGGGGCGGCGGGAGCGGCCCGTTCCCCGTCCCCTCTCGGTCCCCTCTCGGTCCCCGGCCCCGCAAGGGTTAAACCGCGGCGCCGCCCCCTCGTTCGCCGCTCGGCCTCCCTTGATTGACACCCGCGCGCCGGCCGGGCCCGGGCTGACCAATGGGAAGGCAGCTCGGCGCGCCCCACGTGGGGGCGGCCGCCCTGGGCGCGCTCCCATTGGCTGGCGGCGGGGGCGACTGCCCGCACGGGCCAGGCCCCACGTGGAGCTGGCGCTCGCGCGCGTTCATTGATCGCGCTCCGCAGAGCGGCGGCCGCGCGGGCGGGGCGGGGCGGCTGCGGCGCGGGGGGGCTGCGGGCGGGGCCGGGGCTCCGGGGCCCCGCGGCCCCGGGCAGCGCCGGGCGGTGACCCCCGGGTTCTTCTCCAGGGCCTGATCCGGAGCTGGGAGCAGTTTCGGGGCCCGCGCGGCCGGAGGGTCCCGGGCCTGTCCGGTGCCGAGGATGTTCCCGCAGAACCGGCCCCCGGTGAGCCCCCGTCCCCTCGCAGCGGTGCCAGCCCGGCCCTGCGCCCCCCAGGCCGGCTGCCGCTCGGTGCGGGCCGGCACCGGCGCCGGTACCGCGTGCGATGCTCGGCAGCGGCGCCGGGCTCTTCCCAAAGCCGTGCCGAGCCCCGGCGCTGCGGGTCGGGGCTTTGTGCGGTGCCTGCAGCGGGATTCACCGGGGAGGGATGGTGATGGGCAGGCCGGGAGCTCGGCTGTGGGGTGGCTGGGTGAGAACAGGCCACCAGGTCTGTGCCCTGCCCAGTGCCACCCGTGGTCATCAATCCCTTCTGGCTCGGTGGCCAAACCGATGCTGACGAGGCCCTTGGTGCCTGGTTGTGACCACTTTCCTCTCCACTAACTCCTTGTGCAAGCTCCTGCATGTGCTGCTCTCCCAGATGTGCCCGTGGCCTCTTCCCCGGGTGCAGGAGAGCCCTGGGGGATGTGCCAGCCTGGCTGGGCAGCAGCAGTGACCCTGGAGGTGCCATCTCTGCCTAGGCCCACCTCCAGGCACCCTCTGCTGCCTCGGGCGCCGCTGTTGCTGCCAGTGCCATCCCCAGCACCCCCCAGTCCCTCAAGCTGACTTACCCAGAGACCTTGGATCGCATCAAGGAGGAATTCCAGTTCCTGCAGAACCAATACCACAGGTGAGAAGCTGCCAGAGTTCCCATGCCAGTGTGTGACCTGGGCACTTCATGGTGCTGGCCAGCAGCAGGCTCCTCCTGGCACTGGGCAGCACCATCCAGTGTGGCTGCTGGACTGGTCCCTCCAGAGGATGGCTGTGCCAAGCATCACCTTGGTAGCCTGAAATGTTTCTGTTTGAGGGGAAACTCGGCCTTTGCCTGCCAAAAGCCCTGGGAGGAGGTGCTGGCTTCCAGCACCCAGCTCCTGGGCTGAGCCAGAGGCATCACTAAGACCTGGAGTCCCTCTGATCCGTGAGGCTGCTGCCCAGGATCACCTCCCCTTCCCCACGCTGGGGTTTGAAATGCAGCTAAGCTTTGCAGCTCACTCCATTTGGGAAGCAGATGCTGGGGAGGGGGTTAAGAGTCCGTGCAAATTGCTCCCTGATGCCCAGATCCCTTTGGTGTCCACCTCCTCTTTATCAGCCCCTTCCTGCCCTCTTTCAGGTGGTTTTCTTGGCTTGTGCTGGGAGTTGGGATTGAAGCTGAGAGGAGGATGAAGCCTGTGGTACACTGGGAGGGCTCGTGTCTGTCCAGCCAGGGACATCCTGTCATTGGGAGGACCAAGGGGGGGTTGCTCCTTCTCTCTCCTCTTTATTTTCACAGCTTGAAGTTAGAATGTGAAAAGCTGGCAACAGAAAAAACAGAAATCCAGCGTCATTATGTCATGGTTAGTGAGCTCCACCTGAAAGGAGAAGGGTGGTGTGGGATCTCTGAACCATCAAAGGACATGCAGGGCTGCTTTGCCTTCCCCTTGCTTTTGGGTGGTGTGGCCAGGCCCTGAGACCTGGTTCCTGTGGCTGTTACTGTCTGGTTTTCCCCCAGAAAGAGCCTTGGTGTTGGAGCAGGACTTTCTGCCACAGCTTGTGGTGCCAAATCTGCTCCTGTGTGGGTTGTCCCCGTTCCTGCAGGAGTCCTGGGAGGGCTGTGTCCATCCCGAGGGCTGCAGCTGTGTGCCAGACAGCTCCTGGGAGAGGGGCTGGGGACTGTGTTGTCCCCATGGCCACACCACGACTGTTTGTGGCCAGGCTGACCTGGTGTGCCAGCAGCACAGAGGATTTTGTGCCTGGGAGTGTCCCTGGCCTCAGAGCTGTGCTGATGCTGCTTCTCTCCTTCACAGTACTACGAGATGTCCTATGGCCTGAACATCGAGATGCACAAACAGGTGAGTCTGGTGGGCTGGGAGCTCTGTCCACCTCCTTGGTCCCAGCTCCCTGGCCCCACTTTGCCACCTGGGCTCTTCAGGGCTGTCCCCACAGGCAGCATGGGAAGCTGCTCCCTGCTGTAGCTCAGTGTTTGTGGGGGATGTGTCCCCTTCCCTGTGCTTTGTGTGGCTCGGTGCCATGGCCTTGGCTGCCTCCTTAGGTCCCCACACACGTCTGTGCTGTGGTTTTGGGTTCGGGGTGCCCTGCCTGGGCTGTGATGCTCTTGCTGTGTCAGGCAGGGAGCGGTGGTGGAGGATTTGTGCTTGCACGGCCGCTCACCCCGGCTGTGAGTGCTCAGTGTTGTGCAGGAGATGGCTTCTTCCTCAGGGCGAGGGGGGCTGCAGGGCCACAACAGGGTGATGGGCTCTGGCTCCACACCTTTACAAGTGTCTGCTGCCCCTGGCCCAGGGGCATTCTGAGGAGAAAGAAGGGTTTGGGGGCTGGGTGGGCTCTGGGGGCTGCGCATCCTCCCTCGCTGCTTCCCCTCCCTCCCTTCCTCCCTTCCTCCCCTGTGCCGAGCTCCGGGTCACCAGCTGCTCTGAGACAGAAGGTTTCTTCTCATCTATTTTTAAAGAGGCTGCGGAGGAGCCTGGCGAGGCGCTGCCGCCTTCCTGCCCGCCCCGCGCCCGCCGCCGCCAACTGTTGCGCTGGGGCGGGCAGAGCTGGCCCCTGTCCCCAGCTCAGGACAGCCTGTCAGCCACTCCGGCCAGCTCTGTGCCCGCTGGGAGGGTGTTCTGCCCCTCCGGGATGCCCTCGTGTCCTGGCATCCCTGCCGATGCCAGGTGAGGAGCTGCCCTTGTGAGGAGATGCCCGAGGTGCGCCCGGAGCGGAGCCTCTCCCGGAGCGCTGCGGGCTCCTCTCCCCGGGCTGCTGCTTCTCCCGCAGCCCTCTCCGGCTCGTGTTTTCTGCCAGCCCCAGGTGCCGCTGGCCGCCGGCCAGTGAGCTGTCGGCACTTTGAGCAAGGGCCCGTAAGTCTGCTCCGACAGGCAGCGGCCATTGTGTGAGGACGGGAAGCGGAGCCGCGGGTGAGCGCTGCCCCGCGGCCCCGGCCCCTGCCCTCCTCCCCTCCCCAAATCCCGCTCCGCTCACCGGCCCGGGCGGGTCTGAGCGCTGCTGCTGCCCCCCATGGCCACGGACCGAGGCTCTGTCCTTGCTGTGTCCCCAGGTGCCCATCACCAAGGGCCAAGGCGTGGGGTTCTGCTCTGGGGTTTTTTTGGGAAATGGGGCTGGGGGCTGGCTGTGCTGCTGCAGCTCTCCAGGCTTGGCAGGAGAGGATCAAAACAGGAACGAGCAGGAGACGTTAATTTTTTTTTATTGTTGCTTTGTTTTTGGCATGGAAAGGGGCCTGTAGCTTTCTATAAAAGCACCTCCCCGAATCTGCCTGGCCTTGGACTTGCTCACCGCGAGCCAGAGGGGAGGCGACGGTGCTGGTGGCTGGGGGGGCTGCAAACAGCGTGATCATTTTTCATGCTGAGAGCGTTAAAGTGCCAGTAAATTGCACATTAACGAGTGCGAGTGAATTGGAGGCAGCTCTCCCCAAGGAGCTGCTGCCCATCAGTGCATTAGGGAAGAGAATCCATCACTGCCGGCCCCGGGAGACAGCTAAATCCTTCCCAGAACTGCCGGCTGCCAAATCTCCTTGCTCCCCCCCTCTTCCTTTCTTTTCTTTCTCTTTTTTTCCTCCCTCAGAAGGGGAAGTGAGGGCAGGTGCCAGATTGTTTCTGTGCTTTGGGGCTGGCAGCTGCTCTGGAGGGCAGCATGGAGGGTCCCTGGGTCTGTGTCCCCACACCAGCCGTGCCCCCTCACCCTGGCACTTTGGCACCTGCACCAGCTGGGCGTGGGAGATGTGCCCAAGGTCCTGGCAGGGAAATCCAGGGGTCAGTTCTGTCCCTGGGGCGTGGGAGATGTGCCCAAGGTCCTGGCAGGGACATCCAGGGGTCAGTTCTGTCTCTGGGGCATGGGACATGTGCCCAAGGTCCTGGCAGGGAAATCCAGGGGTCAGTTCTGTCCTTTGGTCTCCTCTGGGGGCTGATAAGGGGGTCTGGGTTTAACCCCCTGCTCTCAGCTCCACGGTGTTTTCAGCCTCCCCACCAGGGTGGACAGGGGCTTGGGAGAGCATCTTACCTGAGCTCCTGTGCCCAGGACATCCCCTGCCCACCCAAGAACAGAGGGATCCCTCCCCCAGCTGGGTTTAGGGACAGCTGCTGATCTCTGTCCCCTCTCTGGTGGCAGCTCCTCGTGGGCAGTGTCTGCTCTCTTGGCCATCAGCAGGGAGAGGAGCCTGTCCCCACAGCCTTTGGGGCATCTTTGGGTTGTGTCTGTGAGGCCAGGGATGGCTGAATGTCCGTGCAGGGTGGGGCTCTGGAAGATGGCAGGGGGGTGCCATGGGGCCCTGGAAGATGGCATGGGGGTGCTGCAGGAACATGGCACGGCACAGCACGACGCTGCTCTCCCTCCCTGCACTCCTCGCTCCTGATTGCCAGTGGCACTCGAGTGTTGCAGGAAAACAGCAGCTGGAAGGAGAGCACCTCTCCAGGGCTTCCTCTGGGCTGGGAGGGCTGCAGGGGGTGGGCATAGTGCCCGAAGGGGCTGCCTGGAGGGCAGGGGGGAGCCTGCAGGGGCCTTGGCTGCTGGGCTGGGGGCTTGCTTGGGGCTGGCATGGGCCAGGGGGCTTCATGTCCCGGGCAGGGAGGAGCTGGAAGCCGTCCCAGGGCTCTCAGGGTGGGGATGGAGCATGCTGGGTTTTGAAAGAGGTGTTGTTGTGAACAGGAATTGTTGCCCCGGGGTGTTTTTGCTCAGCAGTGCTGAGCAGCAGCCCTTGGGCTGGGTGTCAGTACCCACAGACTGCCCGGATGAGGTGAGGGGGCTCTCCTGGCAGCCTCGGGGTCCCTCAGAGTGGGGTCTGCTCTGCCCCTTGCCCTGACCAGCTGTGTCTCTCCTCCCCTGGCAGACGGAGATCGCCAAGCGGCTCAATGTGATCTGCGCCCAGCTCATCCCGTTCCTGTCTCAGGAGGTGGGTGAGCCCTCGGGCCCCGCCAGCTCTGCAGAGCTCCTCTGGGGCCCGGGGAAAGAAACCAGCCTGCCCCAGCCTGCCCCAGCCCCTGTCTTGTCTCCCCACAGCACCAGCAGCAGGTGGTCCAGGCTGTGGAGCGAGCGAAGCAGGTGACTATGACCGACCTGAACGCGGCCATCGGGGTACGTCGACCCTCTGCCCGCCACTTCCCGCCTCTCCAGGGCCGGGCTGGGGGGCTCTGCCATGCTGGCACCTCCCGGGCTCCTGCCATGCCAGGGCTGAGCCCCCTCCTGCCCCTGGCTGCAGCCCTGCCCCTCATGCAGCTGAGTGGAGGGGAGGAGAGAGGCAAGCCAGGCTGGTTTGGGGGCTGCCAGCAGGACTCGGGGTGCAGGAGATGCAGCTGGGGGTGGTGGCTGGCATGTGTCACTGTGTCCTGGTGCCCTGTGCCATGGGTGGAGGGGGGTCACCACCATCCCCACTCAACTCCTCCCTCGAGGCTGCAGCAGGTCCCCCATTCAGCCCAGGGTGGGAGGGGTTGGTGGGAGGGATGGGGAGCCCCCAGAACATTACTGGGGACACCCTGGGTGCATGCCCTGCCCCTCTACACCCAGGCCCCGTTGCTGAGTGACCCAGGGCTGCCTCTTGCCCCTCACCTGCCCAGCAGCTGTCCTGGCACAGCCCTTTGACTCTGCTGTCCCCTCTCCTCTCCAGCACCAGCTGCAGACCCAGCACCTCTCGCACCACGCTCCCCCCATCCCGCTGACCCCCCACCCCTCGGGGATGCAGCCCGCTGGCCTCGCTGGCATCAGCAGTGCCTCGGGGCTGCTGGCACTCTCGGGGGCACTGGGGGCTCAGGCCCAGCTCCTTGCCAAGGACGACCGAGGAGTCCATGACACAGAGTCCAGGGGTGAGTGTGAGTGTGGGGAGCCAGAGCTTGGGGTGGCTGAGAGGATCTGAGTGAGGCTGGGAACAGGAGGTGCTGGGCCTGGGGCTCCCTCTGCTCCCCACGCACTTCCCTGGGGTGGGGGCCACTTGTCAATGCCTCAGGGCTGCCAGCTGGGCTGGAGGGGCAGGGGCCTTGCAGCTGCAGGGGGTTTGGGTGGGAACATCCTCCACTGACCAGCACCCTCGTGGGAAGGGGCTGGTGGGGGAGGGTCTGGGACCACCCTGCTGCTGTCGTGCTGGTCTGGCCCTGCTGTGAACGCCCCAGCAGCTGTGGGTGAAGTGGGTGGCTTTCCTGGGGGTTCTTGGTGGTGACACAGCCTGTCCCCCTTTCCCTCCTCCTCCTCCTGCTGCTGCTCCTCTGCGCTGCCACAGCCACAGACCGAGACCCCGGCCCCGTAAGTGCCTTTTCTTCTCTTGCACCATTCTGTGGTGGCACTGGCTGTGCTCAGGACACAGGGCTGGGCTGGGGCACTCCGTGCTCCTGGAGGCAGCCCTGCCTTGGTGCTGCCTGTCCCCAGGCACTGACACTGTCCCTCACCCAGAGCTCCCTGGCGCTGTCGAACGGGGAGCGCGCGCGAGCCATCGCCGAGTACCTGAGCGGCAGCAAGAAGAGGAAGGTGGAGGAGAAGGAGTTTGTTACAGACTATGTGAGCCCAGGGCTGGGGGGCTTGGGGTGACCCCGTCCTCTCCTGTGGGGTGAGGAATGGAGCTGCCTGTGCCTCTGGCACAGCTCCAGGCAGGAGCGAGGGCGGCTGCAGCCCCTGTGGCTCCAACCGTGCTCCACGTTTCAGGGCAGCGATGCAGACAAAAGTGAGGACAACTTGGTGGTGGATGAGGTCAGTGTGCTGGGACACTGGGAGGGGTCTGGGGTCAGTGTGTCCTGGGACACTGGGAGGGCTGTGGGGTCAGAGTGTGCTGTCCATCCCCGAGGGTGGGACTAACAGGCTGCTCCGGGCAGAGGTGGGCATCACAGGGAGGTGCCAGTGGCAGCTGTGCTCCCTGACCCTCGCCAGCAGCAGCAGTGAGCCCCAGCATCCAGGCTGGCATCCTGGCTCTTCCTGAGCCACCAGCTCCCCATAACTTGGGACTTCCCTGCTCTCCAGCCTGCTCTGCTCCTGCTGATATCCTTCCCTCCCCAGGACCCCTCCTCCCCACACAGCGTCCACTCCTACTCGTCCCGGGAGAACGGCGTGGAGAAGGTCCCAGTGGGCAGGAAGGAGGCCATCCCCCTCAGTCCCACCTCCATGGCCTCCTCCAGCAGCACGTCCCCGTCTCGGAGCAAGGATGCCCCCACGGTATGTGTGACTCACTTGGAGCCTGTGCTTGTGTCCTTGCTGCCTGGGCTCGGCTGGCAGAGTGGCCATGGCTCCCCCCACCTCCATCCCATGGGGCAAAGTGCTGGAGGGCAGGGAGATCCCACAGACCCTTCAGCACTGGCTGGGCTGGGCTGTCATTGAGGGGAAGCCAACAGGGACCCCCTGGCAGGAGCATGGTGCAGCTGCCACCTCCCCATTCTGTTCCTGGCAGGTGGAGAAGGCAGGAACACCCAGCCTGAAGTCCAGCACGCCCACCTCCCAGGGTGACACCCTGCCAGGCTCCAGCAGTGCCCAGCAGTTCCGCCCCGCCGCTGCCAAGGTCCCCGTGGACCCCCTGGGTGAGCTTGGCCCCGCTGGGGCCTGGGTGGGTCTCCAAGCTCTGTCTGCAGGGCCCCATCCCTTCACTCTGCCTCTCCCCCACCAGCCCTGGGCCTGAGGAATCCGCTGGGAGTGCAGAGCCCCTACTCGGCCGCCTTTGGCTTGGCACACCCTGCGGTCAACGGGGACGTGGCCGGGAGCGGCGCCTACGCCAGCCTCCACCTCATGTCCCCCCAGCTCAACGGGGCTGCGGCCGCCGTGGGAGCCGGCGGCTACGGGCGCTCGCCCCTGGTGCGTGACCTCGTCCCCGTGGGGCTCTGGGGTCACAGGCTGTGAGCTGCTCTCACCCGCTGTCCCCTGCAGGTGGGCTACGACCCGCACCCCCACATGCGCGTCCCAGGGCTGGTGACCGGCATGCAAGTGGGGACCTCGGGCAAGCCGTAAGTGGGGCTGGGCTGGATGGGGAGGGGATGTGGTGGCTTGTGGGGGTGAATTTGGGCTGTGTGGAAAAGCTGGGAGCAGGAGCACAGCCTGGGGAAAGTCGGGCTGTGGTTGTTTTGTGCCCAGCTGCCATCGCTGGGTGTGTTCTGCTCATAGCTCTGACTCCAGACCATGCTGCCTCTGTTGGACCTGCGTGGCACCAGCCCCTGTCCACACAGGGTTGTGCTCTGCCTCTCACCACCTCCCCTGGTCCCCCTTGCTCTGGAGCCTCATGGATGCCACCTCTACTTCTGTCTGTGTGTCACAGGGCTCATTGCACTGGTGGCAAGCATTTGTTCTGGTAGCCAGCCCTGTCCTGGTGGATGATGCTCAGAGAAGGGGTATCCATCCCTCTTGGAGAAGTGCTGGCTGCTGGAGCCAAACTCCTCTTTGTGTTCCCTTGGCTTATGGCTGGCAGAGCCATGGCTGCCTCTCTCTGTGTGTTTCACAGCCTGGGCAGGGTCTGCTGCTGGCTCTGGTGTGGTGACATGAGGCTGCTTTGTCCCTCCACAGGGAAGTGGTTTGTGAGCACGGGGAAGGACAACCTGCTCAACGCCTGGCGGACGCCCTACGGAGCCAGCATCTTCCAGGTGAGCAGCCAGCAGGCCTGGGGCTCCTGGGCTGAGGCTGCCAGGAGCTGCCCAGCAGAACCCAGCTCTAATTACGTGCCAGCCCCATAAACTCATCCCTGCAGCCTCCCCAAGGAGGGGGGTTGGGACCTTGCTCTGAGGCTGATTTTGTGCTTACCCCTGCTCTCTGCAGTCGAAGGAAACCTCCTCAGTCCTCAGCTGTGACATCTCCACGGATGACCAGTTCATCGTGACGGGCTCAGGGGACAAGAAAGCGACAGTTTATGAGATCATTTACTGAGCCCCAGAGGTGCCAACTGCAGGACAGGCAGCTGTCCACAGGGATGGACAGGTGGACTCTACCTGCCCTGCTGCTGACTTCCCAAAGAACGTGCAGCCAGTGGCTGTGGCATCCCAGCTGGAGGAGAGCAGAGAGGGGTGGAGGTGGCCCTGGGACCGTGGCCAGGCATGGTGCAGGCTGCTGCTCGGGGTGGATTTCCTGGGGACTTTCTCCTTGTTTTGTTCTTTGTGGGTTTCTTTCTAAATCTAGACTGTGGGAGTTGGAGATGGGGGGGGAGGTCTGGCATTGTTAGGGGTTTTGTTTGGGTGCTTTTTTTATTTTTGTTTTTTAACTTTTTGTTGTGGGGTTTTTATTTGTTTAAGGCTCTGGGCCTGCCAGGGTGGATGGGCTCTGGCCTCACTTCCCTTTGTGCCTCCCAGGGTGTATTTAATAATAAAAACAAACAAAAAAAAAAGGCAGCTGTGCCTTGTCCTGGGCAGTAGCCTCGATGCTCTGTGGGAGTGGGACGGAGCCAGGTGGGAAGGGTGACACCATGGCAGGAGCCTTGTTCCTGTTGGTCACAACTTGGTGCTCCTTTCCTGTGCTGAGGAGGGTCTGAGGGGCTCCTCGGTGGGCAGAGCCCATCCCTGGCCCTGGCGGGCAGCAGGAGCCAGGAGCAGCAGTGTGGGCACAGAGTGGTGCTGGCTGTGCCATGCCCCAGTGGAGCAGCCTCGGGCTCCGGGGTGTGGGGGAGAGGAGAGCCCTGGAGGAAGTGGTTTGTGAAGGAAATGAGCTGTGAGCACTCAGCGCCTCCCTTATCGCTCTGGCTGTCTGCCAGCACTGCCGTGGGCAGGCAGGGCTGCTCCCAGGAGCCCGGGGCTGGCAAGGGCTGCACTGTGGCAGCTGCTCCGGGCTCCTGCCCCCAGCCACAGCTCACCACAGGCACCACAGAGCGGTGCTGGAGCTGGGGCTGCCCTGGCAGGCCAGCAGCCACACTTCTGCCATCCTGGGAGCATCCTCCCCTGTGCTGCTGGCCAAGAGCAGCCCCCCAGGAGCCCCTCCAGAGCCCAGCCCTTGGCACAGCTGGCAGCACTGGCTGGCAAAGGCCCCTGCCCAGAACCAGCCCAGCCCTTCTTTTGTTCTTTTTTATTAGTAAGGGATTGAAAACATAGTTAAATACATTTCTTTAGTGATAATTTACAGCTGTTTCTGCAGCAGAAAATGGGTGCTGTTAAGTCAGTAGCAGTAATTCAGGAGACACACGCTCTCGGGCTTTGGCCAGCTCCCTGTGCAGCTGGCCTGAAGGACAGACAGGGCCCAGGATGTCCAGCCCAGCCCTTGCCCAGCTCAGGGGATGCCAGGCTACACCCAGCCCTCACCTCCAGCCTCCTGCAAGAACCAGGGCAGGAGAATGGGGCCAAGGCCTTGGTTTGGTGTCTGAAAGCAGTGGAGGAGGAGGAAGAGTAGAGCTGCAGGAGGGCAGGTCCAGCACTGGAGGCTTCTGTGAGCCATGGTGGCAATGGGCAAGGTGTGTCCCCATTCCTGATGGCGACAGGAGTCAGTAAACCACCTCATACACTGTGGCCTTCTTGTCACCAGAGCCCGTAACGATGAATTTGTCATTGAGAGAGATGTCACAGCTCAGGACTGATGAGGACTCCTTAGACTGTGAGTGAGAGGGCAGGAGGTGAGAGCAGGGCAGGTGCCTGGAGCCACCACAGTCCCCCTCTGCACAGATGCCTCAGCCCACCTGGAAGATGCTGGCTCCGTAGGGCGCCCGCCAGGCGTTGAGCAGGTTGTCCTTCCCCGTGCTCACAAACCACTTCCCTGTGGAGGGACAAAGCAGCCTCATGTCACCACACCAGAGCCAGCAGCAGACCCTGCCCAGGCTGTGAAACACACAGAGAGAGGCAGCCATGGCTCTGCCAGCCATAAGCCAAGGGAACACAAAGAGGAGTTTGGCTCCAGCAGCCAGCACTTCTCCAAGAGGGATGGATACCCCTTCTCTGAGCATCATCCACCAGGACAGGGCTGGCTACCAGAACAAATGCTTGCCACCAGTGCAATGAGCCCTGTGACACACAGACAGAAGTAGAGGTGGCATCCATGAGGCTCCAGAGCAAGGGGGACCAGGGGAGGTGTGCCTACCACAGGAGGCGAATTTGAGAGAGAGGACACAGCTCTCGTGGAGGTGCAGCTGGTACTTGTCGGGTTTGGTGACGTGCAGGATCTCCACGTTGCTGCTCTCCATGCCCACGGCCAGCCACTCTCCCATGGGGCAGTAGCCCAGGGAGAAGATCTGAGGGGACACACAGGCTCACACAGTGGCCCAGCAGGTCCCACTGGCCCCAGGCTGCTGCCAGGGAGCTCCAGCCCTACCTGGGAGCTGAAGTCGTGCTGCTGCAGCTGCCGGCCCTCCCGCAGGTCCCAGCAGCGCACGGTGTTGTCCAGCCCCCCTGTCCACAGCTTGGTGCCATAGTTAGAGATGTCAATGCAGCTGGCACCATCCGTGTGGCCTTGAAACTGCCTGGGAAAGAGGGGGATGGAGAGGAAGAGGGCACAGCTGTCAGGGCAGCCAGCCCTCTGGGAGCCAGCATCTCCCCCTGTGCCTGCCCCACGCTCACCTCACCATCGTCTGGTTCTGCAGATCCCACACCACGATGTTGCCGTCGCTGCAGCAGGAGAAGCAGACTTTGGCGTCAGGGCTGATGGCCAGGGCGTAGCAGGCGGGGGCAGAGGAGGTGAGCTCAGCCTTGATGCGGGGCGTGGGGGCTGCCAGGTCCCAGATGGACAGGGTGCTGGCCTCCCCCCCCACGATCAGGCTGCGGCCGTCGGGGAGCAGCTTGCAGGAGCGGATGTAGTTGTCACGGTTCTGAATGGGGTGACAGGCAACAGGGCAAGGCAAGGAGGACATGATGAGCACACAGGGCCTTGCAGGAGACACTTCTCCTTCTCCCACTGCAGATGGGAAAGGCCCCTCTGTCCCCTCCGCTGGAGCAGGGGCACATTCCCCTTCCCAGCCCCAGCCCAAAGGCATTTCTGCTCCTCTTCCTCATCCTCCTCGTCCTCACCAGGCAGTCCAGCTGAGCCACGGCCGTCTTGGTGCCCGGCTGCCCCACGTCCCAGACCTTGACACAGCCCTTGCCCCCGGTGTAGACGTGTCTGGTGGAGTTGCTGATGGTGACAGCACAGACCACCTCGCCGTGGCTCAGGGTGTGCAGCTGCCGCGCGTGCCGGGGGATGCCGGAGCCCACGAGGGCGTCGGGGGGGAACGGCACCGGCTGCATCTGCCCGTCGGCGCTGACGTGGAAGGAGTAGGCACTGCAAGGGAGCAGAGCAGTGAGAGGCAGAGCACAACCCTGTGTGGACAGGGGCTGGTGCCACGCAGGTCCAACACAGACCTCTGGAGTCAGAGGACGTGGAAGGGGAAGGCACTACAAGGGAGCAGAAGAGAGGCCTGAACAAGCCCTGTGTGATGCCCAAGGGCAGGAGGTGATCTCTGTTTGCCACACTCAAGCCGAGGTGGAAGGTACCCAAGCCAAGGTGGAAGGTGCCCATTATGCCCTGGCTAATGAGGGGTTTAATTACCCAGCCCCAGCTGCCAGGAATGAAATGGCAGTGCTGGACTCAGGATTGGAGAGCAGCTCCCCCTCAGCCCTGCCCTGGGTGAGCCCTTGGGAGGGAGATGCCCCCCAGCACCCACCTCAGCCCCTTGCCCCCAACCCTCCCTGCAGCCCCAGCCTGTGCAGCCACTTACGGCTTCCCTCCAGGGATGGTGGGGAGCGAAGAGGAGAGGCTGGAAGCCCTCAGGTGAGGGTGAGACTCAAACGCCACCTGCACAAAGCAAAGGGCACAATGAGGAGCAGAGCAGAGGACACCAAAGCTGGGCTCAGCCTTTTCCCTGCACACCCTGGGACCAGCCCAGCCAAGCTCCCTGCTCGCTGTGTCCTCCCATGCAGTTACAAAGACCAAAATGGGTTCACACAGACACCAGTGGAGCCAGCAGAGACTTCTCTGAGCACGCTGAAACCACCAGCCCCACATCCCAGCCACCTCTGCAAGGGAGCCCTTCCTATGGCTGCAAGCCCAGCTGAAGCCCCAGATGCTGCCCAGGCAGCAGAGCCAGCACACCCAGCCTCCCAGTGCCTCCCTCGGTGACTTACCCCGGGGGAGCGGCCGTAGAGCAGTGTGCTGCTGGCCTGGGGCACTGACAGGTGGACGCCCATGTAGAGGCCAGGGGCTGGGAGCTCCCTGCTGAGGGCGGCGTGGGGCACCACGGCCAGGGAGGACGTGTAGGGGCTGCAGGAGCTCAGGGGGCTGCGGAGAGCTGCACGGGGAGAGAGCCGCGGCTTGGCCCTGGCGGCACCCGGGGGAGAGGGGCACCTGGTGACTGCACAGCCACCCCCTCCGGCCCCCACAGCCAAGCCATGAAGCACCCAGCTTCGTGCAGCCCCACCAAAGAGACAATTCAGCAGAGAAAAACAGGTAAAAGCCCTGCTCTACCCCAACCACCACCCTCAGCAGTGGTGGTGGGTCCAAGCCCACCAGGCAGTCAGGTGTGTGGCAATGGCAGAGGGGCTCCTGTTGGCCGTGGTTCATAGCTCTGATCCTGTGGAGCAAAACAGCCCTGCCAGCTCTGCTGGTGGCAGACAGGGTCCCATCAGGGCAGAGCAGCCCCCGTGCTGTCCCCAACACTCACTGATGCTGTCGGTGCTGGGGGCCTTGGCCGGGGGTGGCCGGAGAGCGACGGCCGAGCTGGGCCCAGGGCCTGGCGTGAGGGAGTCATGGGGTGGTGAGGAAGAGGAGGGCTTGGAGCTGGGAGCGCTGGCCACTGAGTCAGGCTGTGCAGCAGAGGAAAGAAGAGCAGCTTCAGCTGTGGGACCAGAGCCTGGGCCAGCAGCCTCCACACCTCGCAGGGCCATCCAGGGCCTGATCCCCTCTCCTCTCCTTTGCCCCTCACATGTCTCCACGCTCCCCACAGCTGCAAATGCCCCATGCAACCTTTGGGTCACCCCAAACTGTCCCAACCCTGCAGTGCCCACCAACATGAGACCCCACAGACACATCTGCTGCTCCCTCAAGCAAAACTCCTCCTGCATGGGGGGTCACCCCCCTGCCCAGCCTGGGACCAAGAGGATGCCTGGCATGAACTGGCCTCTCCAATCCCCACAGCTATTTCATGCCTTGCTTTTTTTCCCTGCCTCTCCTATTTCTTCTGCTTTTTTTTCTGTCTGGGGATTTTGTCGACACCAGCAAAGGCAAAAAAAAAAATTAATAACAGAGAAAAGCTACGTGCTGTGCTGGCAGATTGCTCAGGGCGCTTTGTCTGCTCTAATCCGATTGTGCTGGGGAGCTGCTGCTCGCTGCTGCCCACAGCCCCCAGCTGGCTCCTGACCCCAGATGGGGGGACCTATCACTTGGTCCCTGCGGTGGCTGGGAGGCCAAGGAGTGGCACAAACATCCCTCCCCCTTCCCACATGCTGATGTTTCAATCTGAGCGCTGGACTGGTGCTTGGCAAGGAAGAGGGGGAAAAAAACCCACACAGAAGCAAGAAGAAAAAAAAAAAAGAAGAAGGAAAAATCAATTGCTATAAGCAGCTCTGGGGAATCCTGCAGGCAGGGTGGAGAACACTGCAGAGCCTGTGCTCTGCCCAGCAGCACCCACCCTACCCCGAGGGCACGGAGCTCTGTCCCGGGGTGGGGGTGCCAGCGGGCACAAACCCTGCCATTCCCGTCCCATTTCAGACTGGCCATACAGAGAAATTCCCGGCCATGCTGCTGGCCCCACCAGCCCCAGGGAATGCTCACCGGGCTCTGCTCCTTGGCCCGGCCGGGCGCGGTGCTGCCGGAGCCGGTGGACGCGGGGCTCCCGGGCAGCTCCCGGCGGGACGGAGCCCGGCAATGGCTGGGCGAGCGGCCGGGGCTGCCGGGCTCCGAGGGCGGGTCCTGCGGGGAGAACAGCGCTGTGGGAAGCAGGAACCCCTCTGTGTAGGAGGGCAGGGTGCCTGGGGAGCCACCACCACCACTAGTGCCCTCGGCCTGAATGAGGAGCATCCGCTCTGTGCTCTGCTCCCCCGGATGAGAAACGGCCCCGGTTTTGCTCTTTGAACAAAATGAGAGGTGACAGCAGGTTCAGAGGACACTGGTGGCCACGGATGCCTTCACGAGGAGGGATGGGGATCAGCACACATGAGGAGCTGAGGCAGGGCTGCCATTTCAGAGGCAAGGCCACCCCCCAGCTCTTGCATTCCCATTCAACCAGGTCTGTGACTTTTTATCAGCACAATGAGTGGCTTTCATAAGCATCATTTTCTGCAGAAATTCCTCCTGATCTTCCTTTCAGGGCTTGTATTTTCTTAGGAAGTGGCATGAAAAGACTTCATATCTTTCTCTCCCCTCTGTCTTCTGAGAAAGGAATAAGCATGTTCCCAAAAACATCTTTACCAAGAACAGTGGTGGCTGGGATCAAGTTCTGTCAGGTGTGCCTCAGTCAGGAAAGGCTGTACCAGAAGCATATGGCAGCTCCATTGCAAAGACTGGAATTCAGTGAATGCCCTGCACTGAGGTGAGTTAAAACTGAGGCTGCTTGAGGGCCAGGCAGGGCAGGAAGGGGCTCCAGGCCTGGGGATGGCAGGGCCAGGGCGTGCCGTGAGGCTCCTGCCACCTCCACCCACAGGAGCTGCCAGCAGCAAGCCCAGCTCCATGGAGCTCTCATCCCAGCTTATCAGCCTCCCCAGATGGGATGCTGCAGCAGAGGGGCTGAAAGGGGATTGTGAAGCAGAGCCAAGCCTGTGGCTGGCAAAGCTGAGCCTGGCTGGCACAGCCTCCCCAGAGCAGTGGGAGTGGAATCAGTCTTGGCTGGCACAACGCACTGGAGCAGCGCTGGCACGTGTCCTGGCTGGCCACTGCTGCCCAGCAGCAACGAGCTGGAGCCTAAAGAACCCCAAAACTGGGGGAACCAGAGTCCTAAACCCAACCACTGCAGCTGGAGCGGGATGCCTTGCCAGATTCCAGGGGCTTACCTCATCCACCACCAGGTTGTAGTCACTCTTGTCCCCATCACTGTCCTGTGAGGAGGGAGGAATGCAGAAGGGCTCAGTCAGGACAGGGAGATGCTGGACCAGGCTCTATGTTCTGCCTCAGGACCCCAGAGGGACCCCTTTTCTCCTGTACATCACTCTCTGGATCCATTTTCTCCTGTACATCACTCCCTGGGCCAACACCACCCATGTCCTGCTGGCAGTGACCCAGCCTCGGGCTGAGGGGCCTCCCTGGGGCTCCTCATTTGCTTTGTTCTTGCTCCCAGGGTGGGCACAGGGCTGCCCAGCCACCTCCCCTGCCCAGCCCTGCCAGCCCCAGTCCTTGGGGCACTCACAGAATGCCCAGGCAGCTCCTTCTCCTCCCGTTTCCTCTTCAGCCCCGTGCGCTCCTCGTCCTGCAGGCTCTCGGCAGGGGAAGAAGAAACGCTCTGAGGCAGAGGGAGAGGAAGGTGTGAGAGCCACTGTGAGGGCAGGCAGCCACTCCTCAGCTCTCAGTGGGGCCAGGCCCTGCTCCATGACCACCTCCATCCTGGCAAAGCATCCCCCTGGCTGCTGGGAAGGACCCCAGAACCCCAAAACCCAGAGCCAGGGAGATCCACCCCTGCAGAGACGATGAGCCAGGGTGGAGCAGAAAATCCCCACTGGAGCTGTGTTTACTTCACCTCAACCCTGCCACGAGGCTTGGGAAGCAGAATGGGGCTGAGCAGGAAGAACAGCCCTCCCCCAGGTGCTGCTGGCAGCTGCAGGGGTGTCACACATGCCCTGGCATCCCCACACTGGTGACAATCAGCCAGAAGGTAACAGAGATGCCCCATGCCAGGGCTCCCTGCAGCTGACTGCTCCCAGCATGGGCAGATCAGCAGCTCTGACACTGAGCCAGGGGGCAGAAAGGGCCATCCCTGACCCCCAGGCCATCTCTGGAGGAGGTGCCTGGGCAGTGATGGCATCACAGAACCTCCTCTCCATCAGATCAATGCCTCAAATTCACCAAAGAGATCATTAACCCTTCCTTTACCCTGCATTCTGCAGAGCTACTGTGGAGCCTGGGAAGGGAGTCACAGCTCTTGGACTGGGGGGGATCCTAAAAGGGAGGGGGCAGCCAAGGACTGCAGAGGGGCTGAGAGCTCCGAGACCTGTTCAGCATGATTCCTAAACTGGAAACTCCTTGAAAAGGACAGAGCTGGTTATTTTGGGAGCAGCCCTTGATCTTTAGCTCCTTGCATCAGCAAAGACTGAATTGAGGTGGCCCAGAACCTTCAGTTACAAAACCCTGATGCAAACACAGCCCACCCCAGCAAAGCTCACCCAGCAGCCCCATCCCCTCCCAGGAGCCAGCTTGGAGCACACTGGAGATGCCACCAGGGCCAGCTGAGACCACTGGCCTGTCACCACTTACCCTGCTTGGGGTGTGCTCTGGGTCCAGGCAGCAGCAGGGAGAGCAGCCCAGGTCCATGTCAGAGCAGAGGGGAGGACAGGGAGAAGTTGTTAATGCCAAGCCTGTGCCCCACACACCCAGGCAGGAAGGAGAGAGGGGCACAGCAGGGCAAACCAGGAAACAGCAGGACACAGGCTTAAAAAACAAACAAACAAAAAAATCACTCCTGATTTCCCACTTTGCCCACCTGAAGTGTGGATTCTCTCTTCTCTAATGGGAGGTCAGCACTTTGGTGTTCCTCAGGGAAGCAGGGGAGTATCTACCCACCCACCTCCTTCCCGGAGCTAATCCCAGCTCTGCAATCCCTTCCCTAGACATGAAAACAGATCCAAAGGCCCCAGGAGGGGAGAGCTGGCCAGCTGAGATCCCCTGGAGCACACCCATCCCATTTCCTTAGGAAGCCATGCCTAAAAGCCCTGCTTGGAAACTCTCTGAGGCTTCTGTGCATGCACAGCAAAGCAGGTCCACTTCCCTGAGCCCAGGGAGGGAGTGCCAGGCATTTACTGCAAATCCAAGCACAGGGAACACATTTACTGCAAATCCAAGCACAGGGTTGTGGGCTGGGCTTTAGCAACCTTCCCTGGCTGATTTCTGCTCCTAAAGATCCACCAGCATTTAGAGAGAACAAGTCCAGGTCCCTGCTGGCAAAAAGAGGCAGGCAGGGATGGGAAGCTGAGGGATTCTTGCAGGCACTGCTCCAAGGCTGTGGTCTGGAGTGGGACCAGATGCCAGCCCTGTGCACCCCTGGCTCAGCTTGACTCACACCAGCTCTGGCTAACTGTGGCAGGGCACTGAGGATTAACCCCAGACAGATGGAGCATTTCAACCTTTTTTTTTTTTTTTCTTTTTTAATAAGGAATGGCCCTCACCATGGCCAGACACCCAGGCTGAGAGAAGTTCTGGCTGGAGACAGGCTGCCTGGGCTCTGAGGGTTAAGCAGGCTCAGCACAGCACAGCCTGCTTTTATTCTCTCTCTCTCTGGACTTTGTTTTCCTCCTTTGTGGAAGCCATCCTTAAAGAAACACGGGCAGGATTTGAGCTGCAGACAGCTGTGTGCAGGGGGGCAGAACTGCCACCGACAGCTTCCTGCTGCTCTTTTCACCACCTTGAAATCCTACAGGCCAGGCCAGACCATGAGAACCTGCAGCAAACCCCACCCAGTGCCTGGCTTTGCTGCTGCTCTTGGGTCCTGACCCAAGTGCATTTCAGTCAGCACCTTCCCCAGGGGAGTCTGCAGGGAAACAGCACTCCTGCTAAATCTGGCTGCCTCTTTGTAGCCCACAGAGCTGCCCAGAGCCTCTCTCCTTGTCCCAGCCTCCTCTCAGCACCACCACTCCATGCCTGTGCTCTGAAAAGGTGACTTGAGCCCAGAGCAGCTCCTCCTTTGTGCAGCCCTTGAGCAGCAACAGGCCACGAGCAGAGCTGGGCAGAGTCACTAATTTGGCCCAGGCCTGCCAGTAGCATTCAGAGCACTGATTTAACCATGATTAAATATTGATGATGTTTGGAAGGCACTCGCTGATCCTGACAGGAGGAGGCACCCATCTGGACTAGGAATTAGTGTAATTTACACTGCACAACACACGCAATGAGGCTCTGCTTTCTAAATTCCTTGCCCCAGGCTTGTGCCTGTCACAGTTTCTACCAGGGGCTGACAACAGCCTTTTCCTTAAAAGTCTCATCTTTAAGTATCAGATCTTGGTGTAAAAAAAGAGGATTTCTCTGTGGTGGGGATCTCCCAGCTGCATCATGGAGGGGGGGACCCTCATGCACTGGAAACACCCAGGGGAGCAGGGAGAGCTGTGTGTGTGCACAAACACTTGCCCAGGGCCAGGGCTGCACACACAGCATCACTGCAGAGCAGTCACAAACAGAGCCAGCCTGCTGGGGCTGCAGGCATTCCATGAGCTGGATTTGCCAACCCCAGGGATGCAGCAGCCATGAGCCTCAGCAAAGAGGCACAGCAGCATCCCTGCACACGCTGCCCAGCCTTTAAAGGGTTAACCCAGCTGCGCTTCTTCCCCTTACCTCTGTTCTCCCCATCCTGGGCCACTCTGTCCTCCTTGGTGGCCAGCTGAACCTGTGCCATCAGTGCCCCCGAGAGGGCCAGGAGCCCCGCGGCCCCGCTCAGGCTGGGGGGCTGCATGCTCGAGGGGTGGGGTGTCAGCGGGAGGGGGGATGCGTGCTGCGAGAGGTGCTGAAGCTGCTGCTGCTGAAAGAGAAAGAGCAAATGGTCCTGGATGTGGAGGAGGCAGCTGCAGCCATGGCCGGGTCCTCCCTCCCCTCCCTTCCCCTCCCCTCCCCGCGGGCTGCGATGCGAAGCGCGATGGGATGAGACAGGGATGGGGATGGGGAGGGGGCAGCGGAGCTCTGGGGGCTGCACAGGCTGGCTCACACCCCTGCCCCTTCCCCCGGGGCTGTCTGGGCTCTGAGGGTTCAGCAGGCTCAGCACAACCTCTTCTATTCTCTCTCTGGATGTTGTTTTTCTCCTGTGCCCCATCCACCCTGGGAGTCCCTCCCTGCTGCAGACACGACCCCAAGCCATGGCTGTGCCCTGCTCTGCTCAGGGGGGGTCCCACAGGGCACCCAACACCTTCAGGACACCATGGAAAATTCCTCCACCACAATGGGTGTATCAAAATAGTAAAAGTAAAAAATGGGTGTATCAAAAGACCAAAAAACCTGACCTCCCTCATCACTGCCTGAAATGTATCAAAATAGTAACAACCCTTAAATAGTAAAAAATTGGTGTATCAAAAGAGAAAAAAACCTGACCTCCCTCATCACTGCCTGAACCCCCAGGCAGGGAAGGGCCTTTGCCCACAGCCAGGCAGTGCAACTCACCCCGACGATGCTGTTGAGCTCGCCCATGGTCACCTGCTTGGCCCGTTCCACTGCCTGCAGGACCTGCTGCTGGTGCTGGGGAGGAAGAGCACGGGGGTGGTCACACTCTGCTCCTGCCTGGAGGGAGCTCTCAGCTCCACATTGCCCCACCCTTCCCTGCACAGCCCCTTCTCCCACCCCTCCAGCCAGGCATGCAGGATTTTCCCCCAAAACCTCCTGTTGTTCAGGCTGGACTTTGATTTGCCCCTTCCCAAGAAGTCAGAGCAATCTGCTGCATACCCCCTGCCTCCTCCTTACCTCCTGCGTCAGGAAGGGAATAATCTGGGCACAAATGGCACTCAGCCTCTTGACAATCTCTGCCTGAAGGAGGAATCACGTATCAGCAGGTATCACCATGGATGGAGGGCCCTGAGCCCCATCCTGTCCCCCTCCTGCACACACTCAGCCTCTGCAGAGGAGTCAAACTCTTCCCACCCACGGAAATTCTCCTGCTGCCTCTGCATCCCTGCTGGGATTTCCCGAGCTGCTGCCAAGGGAGGGCTCTGCCAGGCACATGGGAGGGACCCCAGGCCTGAATCCCTGTGTGGCCCCAGGCCAAGGCAAGCTCCAAGCTGTGAGTCCTTCCGCAGCCCAGCTGGCTTTGCTCAGCCCAAACCCATCCCGGCTTTGCGGGCAGGGACGGAGGGGAGCCGAGCCACAGGCGCTGGCAGAGGGCCCTCCCTGAGCCTTCCCTTCCCAAACATCCAGCTCAAAGCCAGGGCAGAGCAAGTAGGATGCAGAACTGCACAGATTCAGCACTCTTGGCGTGGCACCAACAAATCCCTCAAGGCTCTGCTGGTTGTACCTGCCCTGACCCGGAGCAGGACTCCACTCCCAGCCCCATCAAGGCCTGGGACAGCTCCCCGTGCCCCTTCAGGGACACAAAGCACACCCAGAGCTGCCCGTGCCCACGGGGGAATGCAGAAAACCCAGTGCATCCTCGGAGGAGAGGCTCTGTGGTTGCAGACAAACCCACAGCGTTCCCACCAGGGCAAGCGGCACCTCCGAGGAAAGGGGCTGTGACTTCCAGCCCAGCCTCTCCAAGAGAAAACCCACATCTCCTGGGGAAAACTGGATCCCCCCCTGCTGTAAATCCAGCCCGGCACTGGCTGCTCTGAAGGGTTTTATCAGCTCAGGTTTCTGACAATCCCCGCCGGTGCTGCAGAGGTCAAAGCAGGCTGGGAGCCAAGGGAGAACAAAGGGAACATTTACCTGCCTGCCCCACTCCCAGCAGGTCCCAGCTGCTCTCCCAGCCACTGCCACCGTGCCCACAGAGCCAGGGACCCCCTCCTGCCCCGGCTCCCACTCCTCAACCACTTGGCCACCACTCCCTGGGCAGAGTCCCCGGTTCCACCTGGCTTGGGCCACCCCTGGCTCCCAGCCCCACCGGATTTTGGGGCATGGAAGGGGGGCAGGAATGTGCTCGTGGTCCCCACCACGCTCCCTGCTAACAAAAGGAGCAAACTCGGAGGGGCTGAGCCAGCTGGAGGGATATGGCAGTTGACTTGCCACTTTGTCAGGCATTGGTCCAAACTAATTTCCCTGGCAGAGAGCCCATGATGACTAGATTGATAAATCTGAAGAGGGAAAGCAAATTAAGGCTGGAACAAAAGGGGAACCAGGGAAGGGTGAAAACACTCCTCTGGCTTTGGGAAAGGAAAAGGGGATTAAGGAAAAAAGAAAAGAAAGACAATCCATTTGCCTCTGGGCTCTAGCTCCTGCTGTTTCCTCCACATCCCTCCTTCAAGTGGGGCCCCAGGGAAGCACTGCAGGGAGGCACCAGGGCTCACAGCAGGGCTCTGAGTGGTTCTCTTTGGGATGGGGAACTCAATAACACATCCTGACAACTGCTGCATCCCTCTGCAAGCCAGCCCCTCGCACAGAGCTGTGGCACTTAGAGCCATTAGAGCTACACAGGCTCAAGGAAGATAATTTTCCAACAAAATCTCCAACCTCAGCCTCTCCCCTGCTGCTGTCCCAGCCCCCCTGCACTTACCTGCTTGTGCATTTCAATGTTCAGGCCGTAGGACATCTCGTAGTACTGGGAGGAAAACCACAGCACAGCCTGGTTAGGAGCTGTCCAGAGCAACTGGCCCAGGACCAGCCTGGGGCTTGGCTGGCTCCAGCCCACGAGGAAAGGCTGGGACACTGTGCCAGGAGCCTGGGACAAGGCAGGCAGCAGGCACAGCCTGTTTACACCTGCGATTTGTTTAAGCCAGGGGAAGCCAGTCCTGCCGCCCCCTGATCCTGTCCTGGCTCTCAGAACCCGTTACAGTTTCACCCTTCAGCAGCCACCAGTGACCCTGCCAGGGCTGCTGACCCCAATCCCCCCACCTGGACAGAAAAGGGCACTTCGCTGGCCTCCAGCAAAGCCTGTTCCAAAGGCAGCAATGCACTTCTGGAAATCCCTTTGAGCCCCCGGGATGTGGGGAGGGATCCCAGCTGATGGGTGAGAGGAATGTGCAAAGGACCTGCTGGCCTCCAGCAAAGCCTGTTCCAAAGGCAGCAATGCACTTCTGGAAATCCCTTTGAGCCCCCGGGATGTGGGGAGGGATCCCAGCTGATGGGTGAGAGGAATGTGCCCTGCAGTAACACCCAGCCCCACAGGCAGGGCTGTATTCACCCGAGATGGCCTTTGCTCAAATTCACATCTTTTTGCCTCTTGGATGGCGTCACTTGGGTTCCCCCTTTCCCCAGAGGAGCCAGTAAGGTTAGATGCTGGAGGAGAGGGCACTGTTCTGCTGCCCCCATCCTCTTCCTCCCAGCAGCTCCCGTGCTCCTGGCTGGTGCCCAGGTCAGTCTGTCTGGGGCCTGTTAACCCCTCACTGGCAGCTGTGGAGGGCTCCTGCCCTGCTCTTCCCCTTCCACCCAAACCACAAGCCTTGGAGCATCAGTTCCTAAATATCCACCCCTTGGGAGAGAGAGAGAGGGAGGAGCTGGGAGCACTCTTACAAGACCAGATAGAAAAAGGTTAAAAAAAAGCCCACAACAACAAAAAAGAGACAAAACCTATGGCAGGATTCCCGGGCTCAAGCAGCACTGAGCAGCAAGAGCCAGCGTTGCTAGAAATGGTGATTAACCCCTTCCTCCCTCACATCTCCCCAGCCCCAAGGTCAGCAGTGGGCAGGGCAGAGAGGAGCCCCAGCAGCCAGATCCGTGTGAGGGCAGCAGCCCAGGGGGACAGGGGGACACGGCAGGGCCAGCTCACCATGACATAATGCCTCTGCATCTCTGTCTTCTCGCTCACCAGCTTCTCGCATTCCAGCTTCAGGCTGCAAAGGGGAACCAAGGCTTCCATTCACGGACCCGCAGCTCCGGGGCAAACCCAGCACCTCTGCTGCCTGTCCCTGCGGGCTCCCGGGGTGTCACACACCCTCCCCGGGGCGCCGCACCCCGCGGCCGTGCTGTGCACACACCCAGGGCTCCGTGCCCTCGCTGCCCCCACACGCGGCTGAGGCAAACAGCTCATCCTCCCCTGGGACCCGCTCAACACCTGGCACCCCCGCTGTGGGCTTCACGCCGCCCCTCAGCCCAAACCCCTCTCCCCTCCCTCCCTCTCTCCGCCTCTCCTTCCCCCGTTCCCCTCTGCTCGAACGCCGCAGCCCCGCTCACCCCATCGCCCTCAGCCCGTCCCCACCTGTGGTACTGCGCCTGCAGGAACTGAAACTCCTCCTTGATGCGGTCGCAGATTTCCAGCACCGAGAACTTGAAGGGCTGCCCGGGCTGCACCGGGGGCTGCGGAGAGACAGCCCGGCTGGAGGCGGCGGCTCGGCCCCCCCGGCCCGGCCCGGCCCCGCCGCCCCCGCGGCACTTACCGGGAGCCGTCCCTGTGGGAACATCCTGAGCGCCCGTCCCCCGGGGCTCGGTGGGGAGCCGGGCTGTGGCCGAGCGGCTCCGCCGGGGCGCGGGCGGCGGCCCCGGGCTCTGAGGCGGCCCCGGGGTCTGAGGCGGTCCCTGAG